GGTTAGGTTTAGGGTTAGGGTTAGGGTTAGGTTTAGGGTTAGGTTTAGGTTTAGGTTTAGGTTTAGGTTTAGGTTTAGGTTTAGGTTTAGGTTTAGGTTTAGGTTTAGGTTTAGGTTTAGGTTTTGTTAGGTTAGGTTAGGTTAGGTTAGGTTAGGTTAGGTTAGGTTAGGTTAGGTTAGGTTAGGTTAGGTTAGGTTAAGGTTAGGTTGCGTCCGAGGCATCGGGGGGCACTTGGCGGCATCTGGGCTGCTGCTGCTGTCTTGGCAGCTGAAGGCGGCTCGGCAGACACTGCACAAAGGTGAAGGCGTGGCATCCCCTGGCATATGCTCAGCCGTTTCATGACACCGCTGAAATATCATGGAAGACTTCAGCACTTTAGCACTACACACGCTTGTTTTCGAAGGTAAGCTTTTCAGCCTTCGCGTGTTCACGAATTGTTGCACGCCTACACATGGTCGCTTCCGAAGCAGAACTATAACTGATGACCCTGCGCCTCTAAAGAAGGATATTCGGTCAGCGCTTCAGAAAGCGAATTACACGAAGCAGGTCAGCTTCCTGGAGCCAAGCCCGCGATGATTTCTTGCCTTCTCGATTCCGTCCTGAAGCTAAGGGCCGCTTCTGCAGCATGCTGACGGCCTTCCGTCGCAGACGAGCAGCGTACTTCGTCCGAAGCCGGGCCATGGCCCGACCAAACCTCGTGTAGTTTTGGGTCTGGTTTTATGTGGGCTGGGGTCTATAATTCTACTTATGGGACATACTGACAAAACTCGGCTCCCTGGATCTTCACGAATGCATCCTATACCTTTGCACTATAATTGCAATATGCTACACTCGGCCAGGATCAGAATTGTGGTTTGGTGGAAGTTTCCGCAAAGGCTTTTTGGCTTCAGGGATGGGTGTTTCCGGTGTTCCCCAACGGCTCGTTTTGGGCTAGCAGGGTTCAGGTTCGGGGTTTAGCTTGGGATTAGGAGCTGATGGGTTCAGGGCCTTCAAGTCCTTTCAGGTTATCCTATTGCATTGCAAGAAGCCCAATGGGATAGTGCTGGGACCGCTTCAGATCCTTGCTACCAGTCACTTTCATTTTGCCGTGCTTGTCGGTCGTTCGCACCACAAGCTCCGCGGAGAAGTCCGGAGTGGCCCGCGTGAGCGGCTTGAACTTGTCCAACATGTCGATGTAGCGGTGGCCTGTTCCAGTGCGGCATAGAGGGAGGATCCTTTTGGCATCGGGCTTGGAGTTTCTATGGTGGGAACCCAAAATTGTTTCTGTTAAGATATGAAGTCGTGGGGCTGCTGTAGAGCCATGTGGGCTTGCTGGAGAAACCACCAAACTCTTGCATTCTGATCCGCTTCTTTCGTAGCTTCAATATACGGAGAAGCTGCTGCATACGAGGATGCTCCTGAAATAAGCTACCAGAAGGTTGCTCCAGAACGAACCAAATGCCCCGGGCGGCGGCAAGGTATAATAGTATGGCCGTTCGTGCAGCCATAAGGTTTCCCGCTTGCACCGAAGGTGCATCAAGGTCGCCTGTAGCGTTGTACTTGCTCCGTTTCGTTGATCCACGGGACCTTAAGTGAGGGTATCTTTGGCTCTTGCAGGGATGTGGTCTACTGTACGAAATATGGGTTCACTATCTGCCGTCTAGATTCATAAAAACCCATGATGAGCACACGGGGGCCAGCATCAGGCCAGCACCAGGGCGCAGCCTCAAGACTTGGTAGATAGCGTGACAGTACCCGCAGGCATTGTTGAAATCCATGAAGATATTGTCGTATAGAATGTCGAAAGCCACGGCACGTCTGCCTGCCTCATGAGGCAGCCGGGAAGATGGAACAGCAGCAACTTTGCAGTCCCAAAGAAGCACCCCAAACCAAAGCTCACAGCGACCTAGCTATAATCAATTACTCCCAAAAGACAAATCCGAAATACATTCATATAACCCCCCAAAACTTCAGATTAAATACCGGGAACTCTGCTGAACACTCTCCGCCACTCTTGACTACATACTCACATAATCACGTACATAGGCATCATATAGAATATTACGGGGTCCTCATACAAGGAACTACATTGCGATGGAGAGTATATGACAAGCAGATCGGTGTATATAGCCATATAAACCCTAAGTCATTAATCGTTGAGCCGGCAGACCTCCAGCTCTGCTTTGGTGATAGCCATCTCTCCTGCGAATAGCTCGCAGTGGTCCGTGGGGGTCCAGTCAAGTCCCGGCAAGGCAAAGACCAGGGATGCCAAGAGCGCTGCCACCTGTGCAGCAAGTCTGACCCTATCATCCCCAAACCCCTATAAACCTGAACCACCAAAACCGAATCCCCTTCAAACCCTAAGCCCTGAATTCCTATAACCAAACCTCAACCCTAAACCCAACTTGGGTACGGCTTATAAGGGTTTAGGAGTATGAGGGCCGACAACAAGTTTGGTCATGGTATGCTCGGTGGCCACAGAGGATCTTGGGCAAAGTAGAGGTGAGATAAGCTTCGAAACAAGCGGAATCCGAGAAACCTGGGTGGGGTGTTTAACAACGAGATGCCTTGGGAGCCCCAATCCTACGGAGCCCGGTCATTGTCCATCGTCGTAGCTGGTCTCGCCAGACGTCACTCGGAGTAGTTGCCATGTCGTTTGCACTATAGAACTCAGTATACAGCACTACAATAATACAGCACTGCAATAAGACATCGAGAATGAAGCACCCCTACAAGACCGTACCCCTAAAGTGCCCTAAAACATAACCGGATCATACAAAAAAGGCTGTGATCCTCATCACAGAGGTTCGTTGCTTTCTACGTTCAACACAATCTGAACTCTCATCGCTTGAGCTACAGTGTGTGAGGATTCAGGGAGCGGAGCAAGTTCAGGGTTGAGGCGCGGAGGGTTCGAGTTTAGAGGCTGACAACCGGGAGGTATGAAACTCCCGAGCGAAATTTACAACCTGGGATGCGTATATAAGGTTATAATCTTAATAGGCCCATAGAGATATGATAGTGTTCATCCCTTTTTAGTTTTAGTTCGGTCTAGTAGTGGAGTGGGTACCACGTATAATACAGGCCTCGCGCTGCAGCTAGGATGCATTGCAACTTCGGGAGATGCGGGAATTGTTAATCTATATTCGACATAGACAACTCTTGGATTCATCCACCGGCAAAACCACAAACTTACTGGAAGGTGCCCAGCTCAACATCGGATAGTTCTTTAGTGTTAAAGCTTTGGGTTTCATTTATGGTTCGGCTGGACCTACACAATTCCAAAAATCTTTGAAGCCCAAGCCGCCCAAGCCTGTAACGATAATGCAAAGGCCCTCGACCAATGTTCCGGAAAGGTTGAGGCTGAAGGCTCTAAGTAGATTATAATCCCGACAAGCAAACAACTTATTATTCAACCCAGACCCAGATCCGCCCTCAAGTGGGCAAGCGAGGCCGGCGAGGCCCGCTCTCTCTGCTGGCACGGCGTGGCTGAAGAGATCCTGCGAGACAGGTGCAGGGCGACTTAGGGTTTGGGGTTTAGGGTGTAGGCTTTACAAAGGGTGTAGGGTTTAGGGTTGACGAGTCCTCCAGGCCGATGTATGTAGAGCAACCCAATCTCGACCTGCGTGCGTGGATGCTGCTATTCGCATATTTGATTTGAAAGTTGCAACGGCACTGCCTAAGTTTTCGAGCAGCGCACGACAGAATGCCCGGTATGCGCACAAGCTCAGACATCTGCATACTTCGCAGCACATCTAGTCAATCGAGCTAAGATTTCGCCAGACCCCATGTGAGCATGGCTGCTGGTAGGCAGGTGCAGTATAGCAACTTCAAATACCGCTCTAGTACTTCCTAGATTTCTATATAGGACCGTGTAGGATTGTAGCACATACTCAGCACCCCCCCACCGTGGCCTACCCACGCTCTAAGGATTGCCAACAATGACTTTCATTGTAGGCTGCCTGTCCCTATCCAGACACAAAACTAACCAGGCCATATCAGGCCCTTTTAATCACGACTCTCAGTCAAAGATCTTGTCATCGCTCGGCACGTACCCAGCTCTCTTCTTCACCTGCTCCCACACTTCGGCGGGGCAGCTTCGCTTGTAGCT